AACCTGGGCCATGTGTTCAAACCACTGACCTAGATGTCAATGTCTCTTTGTCCTATTATCAGTCCCCTCACCTCTCCAGTCACCATCGTTATAGGATTTCTTTGGTTTTTAAGCAAATAGTTAAATTTTAAGGCTATGTTTTTTCAAGGTTTAAAAGTGGAGAATTTTTAAAAATCCAACTTCTGTGAAACTTCTTTTGCTTCTTGCCTACATTAACAATAAAGTGATTTTACAAAAACATAGCGGAATGAAAACGGTGTCAGAAGCAATGGATATAGTATACATCACCCACAAAGCTATTCTTTTTCTTAAATCTTCTTTTAACCACATATTGGGCACAATCTTTCTTTCAATCACACTAATACAGATCAGGAGTAAATCCACAGAGTTGTGTAAAACTAGTGTGAAAGCACAATCAAGCTCACTAGGAGCCAGATTTTCAAACAAGCAAACCTTTCTGGGGCCAGGTATTTCAGTGCTCAGCACCCACAACTGGAGACAGAGTTTTCAGCAGAGCTCAGTTCCCATTGTCAGAACACACGTGCTTCCACACAGCTGTGCTGGAAGGACAGGAGACACTGGATGTGGTTTAATTAGGCTTCAACTTTATTATTAACTGTCTGGGAGTGCCCAGCAGATAAAAGCGTTCAGTGCAGGTAATTCCACATATACTCAGGGGCTTCTGTCAGCCCTCCCTTTTCCCATCCTGGTCCCCAGCCCACCCACAGCTGAGACCTTAACATCTCCCGCCTCGAACAAGGGCTAAAGGGACTATGAAAGAGCAGGGGTTGGCTCCCAGCCATGCTACTCCTGGGAGCCCCAAACCTCCATCCCCCCTTTCCGCTCCTTTAACAAATACCTCCTTTAAATCCTTTACCAATCCATTTATCTGATCACTATTATCCCCTTCCAACGGAGCACCTGCACTGGAAATCTGCCCCAGGTCAACACGAGTTGCCACATCATAGCCTAACTCTCGTTCCATGTTTGCCCCAACTAAGCCACCCCCTTTGTCTAACCCAATCTGGCGGTAAGGGAAGAATTTCTTCCCAGCCACCCAAGAAAGGAGCGACTAGAGTAATGCTGATATTGCACTACTTCCATAGATAGGACCTGCTCTACCTTGTCCCGGTAAAAGAGGACTTCTCCTGCCTGGCATGTACTTATATAACATCTCCTCTCTTCTGGTCACCTGGGGGGACGGGTCAGCATCCCCACGCTGACCTGCTCTGCAGCTGCTGCAAACTCACTCCATGCCTCTCTATCCCTTACATAGGTACACACCTTCCGCCAGCAAGCCAGACAACGCCCCCACCGCCGCCCCCGCTTAATGGGCAGTGCAGTCATTTCGACCCTCAGCGGCCTCCCTTGTGACACTTGCAGCCCAGTTTTCAGAAGAGTTCAGCATCTATTGTGCCCGGTATGCATCCATTGTGCCATTTAAAAAAAAAATGTTAAGGTCTTCTGAAAACCTGGCCACTTCTTTTGGTGGCTAAGTGGCAGCTGACTCCTTTACCAAATCTTGTCCCGATTGCTAGTGTTAAGCCCTCTTCTGAAAATTCTGGCCTATAGGTACACTTTCCCCCAGTGTTGCAGTGGATATTTTAGAAGATATGTACAGTACACTGACGCTTTATGGGTCTGTAATCCAGTCCTGGATCATGTCACAGAATTGCAGCACGTGTCATTCATCTATCCGTGCAGTCCATGTAGCTGGTAAATTGAGAGTCTGGAAGCTGATGTATAATTTAAGCCTTCTTTTTCCCCTCAGCTTCTCCAATTATCTACGGCTTCAATTCTATTGCAAAAAGTGCAGATGCTGAACTGAAAACCTGGATCCAAGCACCCTCAAAATTAGACTACATTCAGATCTAGATCCAAATTATACAGCTTGCCCATGACTCTGTAACGGGCCAAACTCCAGGAAACTTGGAGTCCTACCCAAAGTTGGCAGTCTCTCGGCCATCCCTAGGGAAAATCCACAACTTACCTATAAAACTTTAGGTTAACCTTTTGCTAAGCACAAAGTGGATCGATCAGCTATGAACTCAGAGCCTTTTAGTGAAAGAAAAAAGATACCTTGGAGCATCCCATAAAGAAAACAACTATTTGTGTCTTGAAACTTTTATTGTTCATTAAAGACATATCACAGGACCAAGCTGCTCAAGGAGTTAAATGTATTAAGCAATTTACAATTAATATAGAACTCATTCCAGAGATATCTACCAGAGAGTACAACAGGGCAATTAACCCACTAATACACTAGGCTATTACATCGCTATGTCTCTTATTTTAGCCTGAGGTGATTTGAAACGCATTGGATTAAAGGATATTACAGGAGATAGCATGAAAAATAGCTTAATGTAATGAGCCATCCCGTGATGTCTGCTATTAAAGATGATTTGCAGTTGAAAACTACAACATACAGTAGTTCAGCCATTTAGAAACATGGGTATATTTAACCCTTTTCTATACTGAATCCTTAGGTAAATCAGCATGGTGGTTTCTCCCTCCCTTATCCCACCTTCAATTCCTTTATCTGAGGATTATCAAACACACCTTATTAAAGTACAATGGTATCTTTGGGAGATTGGTGCCTCAGGTTGATAGAAAACCAGTAATCTGCTAATAACTTTTAAAAATAGATCCCCAAGAGAATAAATAAGCTCAGACCGAGAGAGGCTATTTGACTGTCAAGGCATTTGTGAAATGGGAACTTGTAGCAAATTTCTATACTAGCCTTAGGCTTGTCATATCAGTTTCAAATGGTAACTCGAACAGAACTGAGAAACAAAAGCACCGTATCGTATCATCTATCACTAGCCATCTTATTATGGAAATAACGGCACCCAGCTAGAAGCGGGCTTAGCGGTTTGAAAAAGTTCCGCCCTTTGGAGCAGACATGCCACAAAGACATCTTTGAGAGAGAAAAGACTATTGTGGGGTTGTCTGGACCAATGGTGAGTCACGGCTCATCCCTATTTCATTTTTTTTCCCTCCAGAAACCGGACCCAAGTGGTCCATTATGAATAAGAGCGTCTTAAAATACAAAAAAACCCTAAGGACCAAAGTCTGTTCTCACACCATTCTCAATCCAGAGTCACGCCAATGGAGTGACAGCACTGTAAGTGAGATCCAGATCTATTTCTTCAAACAGGAGCAATAAGACCCTGGCACTTAAATGTGAGGTCCCACTGATCAGGATGGATCATCAGACAGGTGGACCCCCAGCTACAGCTGGGCAAAATTTTCAGACAAATAGTTTATTTGCAGAAAAATGCAGTTTCAGGTTAACCAAACTATTTGTGAATTCAGGTTGAAATCCATCCAAAATAATGGGGGGAAGGAATTAGAAAACGTCAAAACATTTCATTTTGACATTTTTGAAATGCAACATTTGACTTTTTGTTTTGAAATGAAGTTTCAAAAGTTAGATAGATTTAATTTTTATTTTTAAAAGGTTAAAAAAAATTCCCAAAACTTAACATGTCATTCAACCCCAAAACATGTGTTGTTTGTTTTTGGTGAGAAAAAAACAAAACATTTCTATTTTGGTTCAACGCAAAACAACAACGATTTCCGATTTTTCAGTTCAGCCACCAAACTGAAAATCCAACTATTTGCTCAGCTGTACCTAAGACCTTGGTTTGCTCTGTGGGTATAGTTGTTTCTCTTAAAGACTGGTGGCTTAGTGGGCTAAATGCACTTGACTTTATATTTATTGATTTATTTTATTTCTTTAGATTTAAATAACAGTGGGAAAAGAGACACCTATAGAATTGTTTTAGGGGCCCAGACACATATTTAATCTTGTAATAGCATAATACACCCTCCAATGCCAAAAAAACAAACATTCAGCAGGAACAAATCAACAATGCGACAGTGAATCAGCCCACATTATCTCTGGGAACAAACCCTCGACTTTCTCAAAAATCCCAATCAAAGAAATGGCTTTGAAGGTCACCAGACTCTGGCTACTTCAGACCAAGAGAGTGAGGTCCAGAACCCTGGGGCACTCACAGCAAACGCCTTATCAGTGGCCCTATCTCCTGGAGACCTGTTTTCAAAGCCACAGCTAAAAGTCAGTTTGTTCTTTGTTTCTTTGCCAGTTTTATACCATACTTCGAAAGAGGGTGATGTTTATTGTGCTTCTGACACTGGGTGTTTCTGTTCTCTTTGTCTTTTGCCAATTGATGCCCTGGCACTAGGACAGATCTCCAACTGACCTCAGTTTCTCAGGAAAAATGCAATACTAGTAAAATGATACACATATAGTATACACAGAAATATCTTCCTCTTCTTTCTGCATCATGCCGTTTCACCTGAATTGCGATAAGGAGCCAGGCAGTTAAAGGTATTTAGGTGCTTGTCACCCACTGGGATATAGGTGCCTAAATACCTTTAACAGTCTGGCCTAGTATCTTTTAATCCATACAATACATCTGGATATTTCTGTACATGAGCTGGCTTAGATTCCACAAGCCCCATTCATTTTTTTTAATAATCTCTATTTGCATAGAAGCAGAGATGGTTAAAAATGCCAATTATTTTTCACAAGACACTTAAAAAAATTCTTCCCCTCCCCCGCTCCCGCAAAATCCAGAAAATGTCAAGCAAAGAGGAACATTTCCTGCAGGAATTTTCATGTTGGTTGAAAAGCCATTTTTCATAGGGAAAAAAGGGATTTTGACCAAAAATTCTGAGCAGCTCTAGGGACTATTGGAACATCCAGTAAGACTGGATCAGACCCACAGTCCATCTAATACAGAGGCCTGTCTCTGTATCAGAACCCCACAGAACTTTAAAGAGATAACAACATAAAAGGTGGTGAAGTTAAGGTGAGCTTGTATAGTTATATAGTAATACAGTGTGGACTGCTATTATGTCTCTCACACAAATACAGTCACTTATTCTTAATTACCCTCCCCCTGCTCTAATATGTCCTTTCTCGTCTTATTTTTGGAGGAGGTCCCATGTCATTAAGATATGAAGGATCTTACCTCTTCACTTCAGGCTGCCCCCCTAGCGGGCCACTGCTTTGACATCTTAACTTGAGGAAGCCATTCCCTGCCATCAATGAAGCTTAGGCCTTGGCTACACTTACCGGCAAGTTCGACGGCTGGAAATCGAACTTCTGGGTTCGACTTATCGCGGCCAGACTAGACGCGATAAATCGAAACCAGAAGGTCGGTTTTCCGCCGGCGAACA